AGACTTGGATGCACAGAGGGACCGAGACACCGTAAGACCAAGACTTGGGTGTACAGACGCAGAAATCCAGAGAAGTTGTGGCTCTACTGCTGGGAAGTAGCTAGTCAGAGACACCCAAAATGTGAAGACAGCAGCTGAAGTGTGCTAAGACAGATGCTGAGCAGAGCCAGAAACCCAGAGACAGAGATTTAATGGAGGCAGGGAGAAAGGAGTGCTGACAGCTTCTAAGGTAGACCCTGAGACTCAGGCTGGGAAAGATGAGGAAGCCAGGATATGGGGACAGAAACTGAGCCAGCGGAGCCCCCCTGAGGCCCAGGACCTGACATGGTAAGATTGAGATCAAGAAGCAGCCCCACGTACACACACACACAGCCAGCAAGACAACCTCAACTTATTTTTAAACTCAAATCTTGGACACAGTGCTTCAGCCCTGGGGGATTAGGGGTGAATGAACTGTTCCTCTCTGGTCCCCAGAGCAGCTGCGGGATCCGGCGCCCCATCCCCCTTCCCCTAAGCTTCTCTGACTTCCAGGCCCCTTGAGAAGAGGAAAGGAGAGAAAGGAGTTTGGGGTTGATGCCTGGTAGCAGGGTGGGGGGGAGTTTGATTTCACCCCTTAAGTCTCCTGTCATCTCCAGGGAGCTGGGGGAGGGGTCTGTCCTGATCCTGACTCACAGCTGTGAGGCCTTCCTGGACAGTGGGGGAGGGGATGTACAAAAGGGTTGAGTGGTTGGCACGGGTAATTGGAAAGGCTTCTGGGTGTCCTCCAATGGCAGAGCTGGCAGCTGTGTGGGGGGTGGGGGGTAGAAGGAAAGAAGAGCCAAGCTCTAGTCCTGGTGATATTACCCGGCATCTCCTGGTCCCCTGCCCTCAAATGCTGACCACCCCCTCCACCACTACCAAAACCCTTTCAAAGAATTTCCGGGGAGAGAAGCAGGAAAGGGCTCCAGGCTAGGTGGTAGAGACCTGGGCACTGTCTACCTGGGTGACCTTGGGCAATGCCCTGCCCTGGCCTTCTTGTGCTCAGCTGGAAAGTAGGGCCTACCTTTTGTTAGGCCTGATAAGATGGTGGGTGTGAATGCACTTTGGGAGGGCAAATTGTCACGCAGGTATGCACACCATCTGTACCTGTGGGAGAGGTTGCTGGCAGAGTTAGGCTGTGGCTCAGCCAGAGCCACTAGCCCTCCTGGTCTCCTCAGAGAGCCTGGGGTCCTCTTCTATTCCTCTAGCGAAAAAGAGGCTACTCTCTTTGTTCTATCTTTGGGCCTACACTAAGAAAGTACAAGTTAAACCCAGGCCAGCTCCCTTACACAGATATCTTAGTTACCGAGTGCTACTGCTGTAACAGAAATACCACAAGTGGGTAGCTTAACAAACAGAAATTTATTTTCTCACAGTTTTAGGAGGCTAGAAGTCTGATTCAGGGTGCTGGCTCTAGGGGAAGCCTTTTACTCTCCGTCACCTCTGGATGAAGGTCCTTGTCTCTTCTGAGCTTCTGCTCCTGGGAGAGATCTTCATGTGGCTTGACACCTCATGTCCCCCATCTCTGCTCCTAGCTTTCATACAATCTCTCTGTAGAGATACAGTCTCCAAAACCCAAGGAGCGGTCCCTATGAGTCTATCTACTCGAAGGCAGTGAGTTTGGTTTTTGTCTGGTAATATCTCAAAGGAGATTGACTGAAGATACACCCTATCCTAATCTTTTCATTAACATAACAAAGCAACCCGTTCCCAAAGGAGTTATAACCACAGGCATAAACCAAACCAACTGTGTGTTGCCATCAAGTTTCCAACTCATAGCTACCCTGTAGGACGGAGTGGAGCTACCCATAGGGCTTCCAAAGCTGTAAATCTTTACAGAAGCAGACTGCCACATCTTTCTGCCAAAGAGCAACTGGTGGGTTTGAAACACCAACCTTTCACTTCACAGACCAGCACTTAACACTGTGCCACCAGGGCTCCTTAATCACAGGCATAAAGATGAGGATTTTCAACACATATTTTTGGGAGGCATAATTCAACGTGCAACACCAGGCCTGGCCAAGAAACTGCCATCTGACCCCAGTATGAATGAAAGACTAATAATAAAAAGACAAATAGCTAACATTTACTGAGTGCTTACTGTCTGCCAGGCACTTTGCAAGTATCTCCACGTGTAATTCTTACAATGACTCTAGGAGGTAGGAAGTATTATTCCCTCATTTTATTAGATGGGAAAACAGGCTCTGGGAGCTTAAGTGATTTGCCCAAGGTCACCCAGCTAGTAAGTGAAGGAGCCAGGATTCAAACCTAGATATATGATTTGCACCACACACCAAGTCTGTTATCCAGCCATTCTGAGCTCCAGTAGGTTTGCTGGTAGGTGCCAGGGTGTATGTGTCTAGGTAAGGGTGTGAGTCTATATGTGTGTTGGGGGAAAGGGCAGAGGCTGAGAGCCATCTGGTAGACTGAACATCTGGCAGACTGAGCAGGCTCCCTGCCCTTTCTCCTTCCCGCCACCCACCCCCACCCCGTACCCAGGAAGGACTGGCTCCCTGCAATCAATCTACCTCCCCAAAAGCCTTGCCAGGGAAAGGGGGGAGAGGGGGATGGGCAGAGACAGGTGGGCCTTGATAGTGCCCTTCATTCTGTCCTCACCAGAGCCCAGCTGGACAGACTAGGAGATTCTGGGAAGGAAACAAGCCACGCCCATACCCTATTTGGGGTGCTTCTATCTCAGTGACTACTGCTTCGCAGAAGGTACCTGCTACTGCTGTTGGCCAAACCAGGAAGGAAGGAAAGGACCCAGGACACTCTTGGACACAGGCCCACACTCTTCACCTGAGTGGCCCCCTGCTGCCCAGTGGCTGACAGCCCAGGCCAGCCTCAGATGTTGGGCCAGAGGAAACCCAGACTGGGGGAGGGGGGAGCAGGAGGGAGGGGCCGGTATAGCGCAGGCAGGACACTGGCTACATGCATAGTCTCCACCCCAGGAGTCCTGCTCTGAAGACCCCAGCTCCTGGTGTCTTCATGTCCTGGCCCAGAGTGTGTACTGGGTATTCTCCCATTGTACAGAACGGAAGGTGAGCACCCACAAGCTGTCCCTTCAGAAAAGCCAGGTCTGCCCAGGCTTGGGGTGTCTGCTGGCGCCTGGAGTCTGGACTCCACGCCAGAGCAATGCTAGCTGGCAAGGATTTCCCACTTGTGGTGACTGAGAAAAGGAGGGCTTTTCCTTCAGCTTGATCCAGGGCAGGCTCCCGGGACTGCCTGCCGTTTGCTGGGCTGTTATGGGGGAGGGAGAGAATTGGAGGGGGTTCTTTGTATGTTTCTTTAAACTCCCCCAGACTCATCTGCAGCTGTGAAATAGCCCAGCTCAGTGTTTCAGCGCCTTCCTATGGGCCCTGGTGGCTCCTCTCCACCCACCCTGGATCTTTGCCCTTAGAGAGCTGGCTTCATGGTGGAGGAGGCCAGGGCTGGGGAGCTCTAACTTTGAGGGTAGAGTCTGCAGTCAGAGGCAGCAGAAGGGACTGGGAACCCCACTTCCCTACCCCCCACACACACACACACACTCGCCTGCTCCTGTTCCAGAGGCAGTTATATGCATGACCTCATCCCGCAAATATGCTTTGTTCCTGAGAAAATGGAAAGTGTCTGAGGTTTGGTGGGGGGCTGGGTGTCTGCAGCAACAGCTCTCAGGGCTCCCCCTTTCCTCATTCCCCAGCGGAAGAGGGGCCTGAATTGGGGAGAAAATGTTGTCACTGGCTCCCACTCCCTCACCCTTCACTTCCTGTCCTGAACCTTTAGAAATCAGAAGAGCTAGGAAGAGGCTGTCTCTCCCAAAGGCAGGAAGAGAGAAACAATGACCCCAAGGGCTGTACCAGATGCTACCAGGGGTGATTCTGGGGTGGGGTGAGGCACATCTCTCTCTCTCTCTCTCTCTCAGTATGTCTCTCATTTCCCCTCTTCCTAGGCATCTCATTTCCCTTTTTTCTCTCCTGTGGCTGGTAAAACTTGGCCATCTGGCCATCTGGGCTATCACAGTTGCTGCAGATGTTACAGGCCAAGGCTGCCCAGGCCAGTGTGATCAGAGACACAGCAGGGGTGGAAGAGGATGAGGGCAGAGGGTCCAGATGGGGAAGCCTAGCTGTGTCCAGCTTGCAGGATTTCCTTCCTGCTTAAACCTAGGCTGAACCTCTGAAGTTCTTGTTTGGCTGATTCTCCAGGGAGGAAAGCCTTGAATTCTCACACCAGCCTCCTCCACCATTCATCTGTCCAGCAGCCATCTAGCATTCCACTGTTTCCTGGATCAGGAGGGGGTGGGGACAACCCAGTGCCATCCCTAACCTCCCTTTTGCAGATATCTGGTAGAGGTTCTGTTGTCCACATCCCTGAGAGTCAGGAAAGGACAGGCATACTGGTCAGATACTGGTGAGGTGGCTTCTTGCCCCTGCTCCTGTGACAGTAGGGACCAAACAAGAAATCCATTGCCATCGAGGCAAGTCCAACTCATAGCAACCCTATAAGGGCAGAGGAGAACTGCCCTGTAGGTTTTCTAAGGCTGCAAATCTTTACGGAAGCAGGCTACCTTGTATTTCTCCCATGGAGTGGCTGATGGGTTTGAACCACCATCCTTTCGGTTAGCAGCCAAGCGCTTTAACCACTGTGCCACTGAGGTTTCTTATTAGCAGGCACAGTGGTTGATCAACTCAGGCTGGGGCAGGAAATGAGTCACTGACCCAGGAAAAGCCCCCTCCCCTCAGATCTGACAGGGCCTAGATAAGAAAACAACTTCTGCTTCCTTGTTCTTTCCTGACCCCTTCCCACTTCCTATTTCCCACATTTATATAGAAATAAACATGCAGGACGCCTGGGTTCCCAGAGGCACATCTTCCCCACCCACCCCTGCTCTGACCTAGTATTTCCTGTGCCTGGTCACTTTCTTGACTGCAAGGGGCTAAGCCACAGCCCTCTGGGTGACCCCTGCCCCATCTTATGTTCCTAACAGGGCCCACCCACAGTGCCACAATGAGCGAGGCCTTTGACTGTGCAAAATGTGGTGAATCCTTGTATGGCCGCAAGTACATCCAGACAGACGGTGGCCCCCACTGCGTGCCCTGCTATGACAACACCTTTGCCAACACCTGCGCAGAGTGCCAACAGCTTATCGGGCATGACTCAAGGGTGAGGACCAGATCAGACAGGGCAGGGAGTGGGTGAGGGCTAGTCAGAGGGGGCAGGAGGTGGATCCACCAGGCCTGGGTGGCAGTGCCCCTGCTATACTCCTGCAGGAGCTGTTCTATGAAGACCGCCACTTCCACGAGGGCTGCTTCCGCTGCTGCCGCTGCCAGCGCTCCCTAGCCGATGAGCCCTTCACCTGCCAGGACAACGAGCTGCTCTGCAATGACTGCTACTGCAGTGCCTTTTCCTCACAGTGCTCTGCCTGTGGGGAGACTGTCATGCCTGGTACGTCCCCAGGGCCTCACAGTATGTGGGGACTGGCATGCCTGGGAACTACATGGAAGTTTAGCATGTGCAGGGACCAGCATGTCTATCTGATACACACGTGGAGGCTTGGGTGTGTGTAGACCTGCACACACAGGATATTCTTGGAAATTTAGTACATATCATGTGTCTATGCTCTTGGGGCTTAGCATGCACAGGGACTGACAAGCCCAGGTATACACACGGCAGCTTAGCATGTGTAGGAAATGACAAGCTTGGTACATTCCTGAGGACTTCATGTGTGATGGACCAGCATGCCTGGTACATACCTGGGGCCTTAGCATGTATGAAGATATACATGTTTAGTACATGTAGGAGCTAAAGGAAGGTTGGGCAATCCTACTTCCGTAGTGATACTGCCTCGGAAACCCAAGGAGGGGTCGCTATGAGTCAGGTTTGACTCGACGGCACATAACAACAACAACAACAGGAGCTAAAGGTATACTGATACTCTCAAGCCTGGTGCCTTGGGGCTTAGTGTGTGCAGAGACAGATAAACAGAGCTTAGCATGTGCAGGGACCTGCATACCTAATAAATATGTGAGGACTTAGCACATGTGGAGAATGGCATGCCTAGGATATGCAAGGACTTAGCATGTACTGAATCTGCCATGGCCTGGGCATTAGAACTTTAGGCAGACTTGCTTGCCTGGTATATGTAAGGGTTTTTGTGTCTAAGGTCCCTGGGTGGTACAATGGTTTGCATTAGACTAGCAACCAAAAGGGTCAGTGGTTCAAACCAACCAACCCAGTGATGCTACAGAGGAAAAGCCTGGAGATTTGCTTTCCATAAAGATTACAGCCAAGAAAACACTATGGAGTTTGTTTCTACTCTGTAATACATGGGATTGCTGTGAGTCAGCATCAATTCAATGGAAAAGGGATTTTGTGTGTGTGAGTGTGTGTGTGTGTACGCTAATAGCAATATGTGTGGTATATAAGGGATCAACCTATACTGAGACACATGCCTGTTACATGGAGGCTTGATGTGTGCTGAGACAGTTATATCTGGTACATAAGAGGGCTTAACATATGCCACAACCCTCATGTCTAGGTTATAGGGACCTAGGACACACTGAGCTGTCATGTCCAGTGTTTGGGGTGGAAGATTGAGGGAGGTTATCATATGTAATATATGGTGGGGGTCTTGCTGAATATGCCTGGACCCTACTTTGCTCAGGCTATGGGAGCATTGGGAACTTTTCTGGGGGATAGCAGGGGGTGCCCCTCTGGAGCTTGGGACACAGCCTCTGAGTGGACCCCTGTTCCCTACAGGGTCCCGAAAGCTGGAGTATGGAGGCCAGACATGGCATGAGCACTGCTTCCTGTGCAGCGGCTGTGAGCAGCCACTGGGCTCCCGTTCTTTTGTGCCTGACAAGGGTGGTCACTACTGCGTGCCCTGCTACGAGAACAAGTTTGCGCCTCGCTGTGCCCGCTGCAGCAAGGTGGGAGTTGGGCCAGTGGGTGGGGTGCTAACCTCTACTGCACTCATGGGTGGGAGTGAGTAAGGCTCTTTTTAAGGTGGGAATACCCACTCCCCCTAGCTGACAGATGCTGCCTCTACAGACGCTGACACAGGGAGGCGTGACATACCGTGACCAGCCCTGGCATAGAGAATGCTTGGTGTGCACCGGGTGCCAGACCCCCCTGGCAGGGCAGCAGTTCACCTCCCGGGATGATGATCCCTACTGTGTGGCCTGTTTTGGTGAACTCTTTGCACCCAAGTGTAGCAGCTGCAAGTGCCCCATCACAGGTGGGACAAGGGTCAAAAAACAAGAGTGGGTAGGGTCCCAGGGAATGGGATCTGGTCTTGGGTAAGGTAAGGGCAGGACTAATCCCAGGATCTGCAGTGCTAACCTCCAGCTTCCCTCCAGGACTTGGTGGGGGCAAGTATGTGTCCTTTGAAGACCGACACTGGCACCACAGCTGCTTCTCCTGTGCCCGCTGCTCCACCTCCCTGGTGGGCCAAGGCTTCGTGCCCGACGGAGATCAAGTGCTGTGCCAGGGCTGTAGCCAGGCAGGGCCCTGAGACAGGGCTCCTGGGCCCAGGCCCTCCCATACCAGGGCTCCAGGGCTGTCGTGGTTCCCTTTCCAAACCACCTGTGGGACCCCAGCCCCTCCCTAAAATGGGACTCCCCCCTGGGCTCCAGGATTCAACCTCCTCATCCCAATATCTCCAAACTGGTACTCCCTGACCTAGGGCCCCCAAAACCTGGCCTTTTATGGAGCCTCCAGGATTCAAGCCCCATCCCCAACCCTGGACTCCAGAACTCAGCTCATCCCTGTCTCTCCTGTGGTCTCAGACCAAGGCTCCTTCACAAATCAGGGCTCTAGACCCCAGCCCTGGAACCCAGACCCCCTTAAATCTAGACTTTAAGTCTCCAGTGGGTGTCTGAGAAGTCCTGAAAAGTGGACTATACTCAGGTCTGACCCCCACCCCATTCCACCCCATCACCACTGCTGAACCTGGCTAGGCAAGCAGGGTGGGGGGTCCTAGGGTGTGTGTGTGGTGGGGAGGGGTTCCGTGCCCATCAGGTGTTTTCTCATTTCATTTCAGCTCCATTTTGCCCAGAGATGGGCAGAGGGGTGGTCATGGCCGGCCCCCTTTCCAGATTCTGCAATAAAAGCAGTGAGGAAGCGCTGTCCTTCATGTGTTTGTCTGGGGGTGGGCAGGAATCTTCCTTTACTATCCCAGGCTTGGTAGCCCTCAGCCCTCCGGGCAAGAGCGGGAGGTGGCCAGTACTCGGGGCAGGAACTCTCCGGAAGAAGGGATCCCCGCTGCAGCTACCATCCCTCTCTAGTTTAGCCGGCCTCCCTGCTGCTGGCGTAAGTTTTTTCCTCCTTTTGGGGAAGACGGAGGCGGGGGTTCCGGACGCTGAGCTGCAGCAGGGGTGGGGGTTCCCTCCGATACAAGTCGCCCCCTCGAAAGACAGCCTTTCTTAAATCCCGTTGGGCACTCCGTCCCGATCCATAGTCTGGGCTCAGACCCTTGGCCCGCTTCCTCCTCTTCCCAGGGATTAGCGGGGGCGGCCCGGGATCCGTTCTCTTGGCCGCAAGTTTTTTGCCAAAAAAGGCAAGGATGCAGCTGCACGCGCCACGGGAACATCTGGATCCAATTCCCGGCATGAATGGGTCATGGCCCCGCTCCCCCCGTGATTCATGGGCGGGGGCGGGAATGAGCTTGGAGGGCTGCCCCCCGAAGTGGGGAGATGGGGCGGAGCGCTGCTCCCCTCACCCGGCGTCCGACTCCCGGGCCCCACTGGCCCCCTCGGCGGCCCGCGGTCCAGCTCGCCGCGGCCTGACTGGCGGAGGCAGTTTTGTGCGCGCGGGCTGATGAGCACACTGAGGCCAGCGGGCTGCATCCCCTCGGGTGAAGGTAGGGGTGCAGGCGGACCGTCTGCGCTCTGTGGGAGGGGGCCCCACTTCTTTTCCAGCGGAAATCTCGTGATCATGTGTATCTTATATTAAACCTTCCCAAAAACTCCATGGGGCAGGCAGGCATTCATTTCACCGAGGTGCGGACAGAGACTGAGATTCAGAGACTGTTGCGCGAAGTCCTGTAGGTAGTCCCTGATACCGGATTCTAATTCGCAGTGCACTGCCTCTCCCTCCCAGTCCTAATGTATCTAAGGTAGACATTTTCAACAAGCCTTCCCAATGCTCATGTGCGCTTCCAAGAGTAATAACTGCATGCTCACATTTGTGTTTCTCTCTCACCTGGCCGTCAGATTGGGCTTGTGCCTGCCCCTGCCTCATTTATCCCTCCATTCCCAGCTCCCGGCACTTACAAGTTCAGTGAGTACTGGTTGAGGAAGAGCAATCCAAGCATATAAACAGCTGGTGCAAAGGCCTGGAGGCCTGAGAACATATGGTGCTTTGGGGAAGCAGTAGGGAGAGCCCAGATCACGAAAAGCCGAGTGCCAAGTTAAACAGATCTCACCCTGCGGGTAAAGCAGCCAATGGAAATGTTCAAGCAGGAGCGTGAGATGTTCGCAGCTTTGGAAAGATCATTTGGGCTGTGGCCTGAATAATGGTTTGGAGGGGTAAGATGAGCAAGGTGGTTAGGCGTCTAGTGCAGTAATCCAGGTGAGAGGCAGGTGGCAGCAACAGTGGAAAAGAAAATACTGATTTGATGGAGTGGGGACAGAAGGGATTTAAAAGAAAGTAGGCATCAGGTTTGAGGCAGAGTGCAGGGGTGAATGGCAGTGCTTAAGTGTTCCACCTACCTAAGAGGAAGGGATATGCTGCTACAATACCACATTACATTGATTTCAAGGCAAACATCTTCCAGATACAACATCTCAGAAACCTGAGAAACATTTTATAATTTAAGGTGGGTCAATTTGGGTTTTTATTTTCCTTTCTTAGTAGAGTTTAAAATAATGGTAAATTTTACATCGGATGGTATCTCATATTTGATGAAATACAGCAGATCGAAAGCATTACAGAAAAATAAATAAATAAATACCTGAGTCTCCAGAAAGGAGATTTCTCCCCACTGTCCTAGTTAGTGGCCCAGGAATAGCCCCACAGGGGAGCTGTGCCCAAGGTCCTCTATTCTCTAACAGTGGCAGTCTTGCTTAAAGGTTGACATAAATATAATCCTTACAACATGAGTAGGCAAGACAAGGGTTATAATCGCCATTTAATTTTTCAAACTCAAAAAGTAAAACTCTTCTTTTTTTAAAAAAAAAAAAAAAGTACGTGTTCATTGTAGAAAAATTGTTGCTTGTTGTGTGCCATGAACTAGATTCCAATGCGGACTGCCATATCTTTCTCTGGAAGAACAGCTGATGGATTTGAACTGCTGAACTTTTGGTTTGCCACTCATTCCAACTCATGTTGTTGTTGTTGTTATGTGCTGTCGAATCAGACCCGACTCAAAGCGGCCCCTCCTTGGGTTTCCGAGGCAATATCACTACAGAAGTAGATTGCCTCTTAACAGAGAACTGCGCCACACAGTTTCCTAGGCTATAACCGTCATAGCAGTAGATCGCTGGGTCTTTTCTCCCACAAGCCTCTGGTGAGTTCAAACCACGTATGTTTTAGTTAGCAGCCAAGCCTCTACCACTGTGCCACCAGGACTTCCTGTAGAAAAATTTAGTACCAAATACTAAAGAAAACAAAAGGTAAATTAATAACTCCTTCATGTATTAAGCATGTACATGTATATATGTGTTTTCCATTTTTTTGTATTATTTTTAAATTGAAAAAATAACACATTAATGTATTAAACAAAGCTTTCATGCCATACTTTGTGTACATCCAAAAAAAAATTTTCCTCTCAAATGACATCTTGACAGGACATCTGAAAAACAACCATTGTTTAGTGTTACTTAGATATTCTTACAGAAATAATCTCTTCATGAATCGACTTTTATACATACTTTTGTGCATCAGGTTTTTTTACTTTCCCTGGCCATTTTAACACATGAGTTCATACATAGTTTTTGACAGTTTCATTGAGGTATGATTTGCATACCATAACATTCAGTCCATTTTAAGTGTACAATTATTTCTACTAAATTAATAGACTTGCCAAGGAAAGGTTTCTATATGGAAGGAAACTTTGTTGGTTACAGGGGGAGGGATGGGGAGGGAACACTGCAAAAAAAATTTTGAAAATAAATAATAAATAAATAGACTTGTGCAACTATCACAGCCATCCCATTTTAGAAATTTTCATCACCCCCAAAAGATGTTTTGTGCCCATTTGCAGGCATGTCAAGTCTAACACCTAACCCCAGGCAACTACTCATCTAGTTTCTGTTGCCATAGATTTGCCTTTCTGGTCATTTCATATAAAGGGACTCATACACTATGTTCTTTTAGTGTCTTGCTTTTTTTACTCAGCATGATTTTTTTTTTCTTAACTTTTATTGTGAAAACATACACAGGAAGACATTTGCCTGTGTAATTCCCACGTTTACAGCTCAGGGTTTTCAAGGTTTATCCATGTTTAGCACTGTGTGGATACGCCACATTTGGTTTATGTATTCACCAGTTTAGGTTTTCTCCATTTTTTTGTCAATTAGGAATAATGCTATATGAGCAGAAGCCCACATATACATACTGACATAGGTTTTCATTTCTCCACTTATAAGTGAACATACAGATTTCCTTCTCATATACTTTTTTTTTTTTTTTTTTCCCCCAGCTCTATAGCCTTTCAGTGTTTGGATGTACCATATTTTATTTATCTACTCTCGGACTGATAGGCAATTGGATTGTTTCCATATATGAAATTCTGGAAAAAAAAAAAAACCCTGCTATCATCCCATTAATTCACAAGGATATTGAGGTCCAGAGAAGCAGAAAACGTCAGAGGTCACCCTGAAAGATAAGGGGACTCAAGTTCTGGTCTCCCAATTCCTATCC